TAATATAAATATAAGTGACAATATAAATACGGTTTCAAAAAATTTAATACTGATTAAAGCTAGGGAAAGACTGAACTACACACCCACACCATTCAATGATCGCACGAAGAACTCTCTTCTAAATGGCCCTGCTTGAAGTGGCGGTATACCAAAGTATGAATTCTAAAATCATTTTTGTTATTTCTCATAACATAATTTTTTATGATAAATGATATAAATATAAGTGCGTTGGGGTAAGATCGGTGAATGGGTAAGACGGTAAAATTCAAATTTTCGGTGAATTATGCTGTATTTTATTCTGCCTCGACCCCAAGTCCAGCCAGTCGCTCCGGGAAGTAGGGCGTGTGCTGCGCGGCATTTTATAAAACAAGGTAATTTATGTATTTTTTTCGTCCATCCGGTCTTTCCCTATCACTTTTATTTGCGATTTTTAGCGACGTCCGGTCTTATCCCTTGATGGCCAATTCTTCATCATGCATATAAAAAATTATGTCTTGTCTTCGCACACGTTTTAAGCAGAAACCATTGAGTTTACAAAAAAAAAGCTTCTCATAACTAAACTACGTTTAACCATTAACGATTTGCGCCATGTTTCAGAAATCTGATGTATATGGATGTCGAGAAAATATAGTTTTTGTAAGACTCTTTCAACTAGTTGAAAATCGTCCGGTATTACCCCAACGCACTATAATACGATAAGCAAAATATTTGTAAATTAAAACGGACCGCAGAGAGAAACAGCGGCTGTGGTTTGCTACGTTAAATGCTGATTGTGACCCCTTTTCGTCACGTTCGGTAACGTCTAGTACTATTTAATAACATTTAAAATGGGAAATACTATGTCCAATATAGCGTTGTGATTATGTGACAAAATAAATATTTTCTTTCTTTCATATATGAACATCTTTATAATTATTTAAGTTATCCTAAGCTTTAATAGGTACCATACAATAAACACTTCGTAAACCTACAAAGGGACTACAGCTATTATAGTGAAGGGTAGGTATATACATACAGTTCGAAATTACATAGTTGCAAATGTTTGCTAACATTCCCTAACAAAGGTCACATATTTTGAATACTATCTTGTTGCCAAACCCGAATACTTTTTGAAAGATTCCAAACATTTTACTTCGGACTCCGCAAGTATCCACAAAATTTTCAATTGTTAATGCAGAAATCACATACCCGTAATACATTTTCATATTAAAAATTCATTTATCTGAACACAAAAAATTAAAATAATTTGCAAACAAAAGACTCATTTATTCTTTTATTTTATTTTAAGGTTTCCACATCAGTCAAAGTGGAATAAATTCGTCCATTTTAACTCTCGCGTGCCCAACATTTATGAACGACTCTTATTTCTTTCAATATTATATTAATAAGTTTTTAACATGCATTTAGTATGTTTTTTTTATATTTGACATAGTTACAAGTTAAAATATTCAGATAAAAATATCATTAAATATAATTGTGTTATAATATTATTAGTGATGCAACAGAACTCTGTTTCTGTTTCCGCAACTGCGGAAGTTCTGCATGGTTTTTAACATCGTTTTGCTTGTATCCGAATAACGGAATTCTGAATGGAACTCAGCGACGCATCCACATAAATAGATTTATTATAGTTTCAGTTAATTAGAAATTTAAGTCGTGTGTGTAATTTAAGTGAAATCATGAAGCTAAGCACAAGTCCTGTTTGGAATTATTATTTTGAGATTGATGATTTGGCAGATGTAAGTTATGTGACAAAGTATACTCGCAAAAAGGCTGCACAACTACCGCTTTAAAGAGCCATCTTAAACGCCGAAGAGTTTGCAGTTTGAGAAGTTAGTTGAAACTGTAAAACTTTCATCGCGAACTAAAAAACAAATGATCAGTCAACGAATTGCATACCTATTTATTAATAAAATGTATTCCTATAATGATTTCTTATATTTACGCGAATACTACACATTGATTAAAAACACCCATGGTCACGGGGAACTGAGATGACTGACGTCCCGATGTCATTGTTAAACCCGGAGTACCTTCAGCTTTTTTTAATCATAGATCGGACCATAAACAATAATTAAAAAAGCTGAAGGTACTCCGGGTTTAACAATGACATCGGGACGTCAGTCATTTCAGTCCCCCGTGACCATGGGTGCTGGAAAGCGCCCGAAACGTCGGGAATTAAAAATTAATAGTAAAATAAACGCGATAAAATCCGTAAAAATAATTTTTAAGCAATATGTATTCCTATGTTGTAGTTAAAACCAGATATTAGTTAAAACATGTTTTCTCCAGTTAAAAATAGTTTTTAATAAATGCCTTTGTTACAACTTAGATTTGCAAATTAATTAGGCAGCAGTTATGTTTGCGTGAAGTTTATATTATTTATTTTTTACTTGAAGTTTATATTAATTATTTTTAAAGAAACTTTGATGAGTATTTTGGATTCAAAGTTTATTTACGTCGTACTTTCGTGCTAGGGCTGTACTAAATTACCTACTCGCTAAACCTAAGTGTGGCTCTTTATAGTGTTTGCCCAAATTTTGAATGTTAATTTTATTTGTATTTTTTTATAAGTTTTATTTCCGTTTCCGCATCCGTTTCTGTTTCCGTTTCTGCAAAAAAATATTTTTAACATCTGTTTCCGTTTCTGCTTCCGATATGACACTTCCGTTGCATCACTAAATATTATATGTTATTATATTACATAAGCAAAATAAATATAATATACAAAATAAATGACAATATTTAAAAATTGTACTCGATGTAATTTACCTATTTAACAAAACAATCTATTATTACCTACTGATCATTCTATGGTATGTGACAAATCAATTGAGAAAAACGGACAATGACCTCAGGTATGAGCCGAATGTCAAAAGGCGTAACTTACAAAATCTCAATTTAGATGTGATAACAATATTTAAATATTGATATTATTCACACTTCTAGGTCAGCACATATGTTTTGTTTTTTGTTTCTTAAATAATATTGTCTGTGGTTCCTACTCGTATAAACGTCGCGAAAAATGTGTTTTATTTTATATTTAAATTTATGGTAAGTAACGCAGCAATTCATTTAATAACAGTTTTATATTTAAAAAATATCTGAAGCAATATATTGATTAAAACTACTTTTACGGATTTTATCGCGTTTATTTTACTATTATTTTTAATTCCCGACGTTTCGGGCGCTTTCCAGGATCCTTGTTAAACCCGGAGTACCTACAGCTTTTTTAATTATTGTTTATGGTCCGATCTATGCAAAATGAACTGACTATGTCCTGAGGTCTTGCAGTGGTATGCTTAGGTTTAGTTTTAATTTTATTGATTATAGGATCCCAAGCAGGTGGTAGTACCCAGCCTCCTTCTCTATTGAAATTAGGATGTTTTTTAATTTCAATAGCCTCACGTATCATCCTTGGTAGGAATCGGTGTTCTTTAGTGAGGATGTGTGGTCTATCAAATCTGATATAATGGTTGGGGCCGTCTAGGATATGATCGCAAACTGCAGACTTCCCGGAACGTTGATGCTTCACATCAGCTATATGTTCTTTTACGCGGATTCTAATTGATCTTTTTGTTTGTCCTATATAAGAGAGACCACATTCACAATCAAGCTTGTACACTCCTGCATCTTGTAGAGGAATATGACACTTGACTGATGGTAGGAACTGACTAATCTTCTTCGGCGGCTTGTAGAATGTTCTAATAGAAGCTCGCTTCAATTACGTCCAATAGTGAGTCAGATTGATTCGCCAACTTACAGATTGGCTCAATACTTAGCTAAAATATTATCACCACTCAAAGCACACACAAGAGCACACACTAAGGATTCATACCATTTTGTCAGTGAGATAAAAGACCTACTCGAATCTTTATATGTATTATAAATGAATGCTTTTTGTTGTTAAATGAATAAAGTACTTTATAACAATAGATGATTTTTCTTCTACAGCGATCTTAACATAACTTTTTAATAATAGTTAATAAATATATTTCATATCAATCATTATAAAAAATTCATTATAAATAAAGAAAGTACTACATATAAAATGTGCCCATATATTGAAGGTTTGTAACCGCCGGTTAAACGACCGAAAGGTCATGGTCCCTTTTTCTCAATCAATTTGGCACATACTATACCTATGTTTATTCTATGATAAAAAAATCAACTGCGCGAACACTGAGTACCGCACATTTTTTGTTTGAAATAGCTGTTAAGCTAAGTACGTAAGTATATTACTTCGATTCGATGTGTATGGTAAAAATTTACTAGTTGTGAGTTGTGACCCAGAGCGAGATCGGAAATATAAAAATTATTTTATCAAGAGAGCAAGATTATAGTTTGTTTTCCTGTGCAATACTAATCTCAACTAATCCTATTTTTTTGCGTTTATCAATTTTTTTGTATTTATCAACACAATCAACACTCCTGTCAAAAATGGTAACTGTGACATTTTTCTTAGAAATATTTGACAAGCCTGTCATTGCATTGATTAATGTGTATGATAAATTATTACACATATAAATAAACAACGTATAAACATTTCAGAACCTGCATGAGTAAGTAGCATAGATTATCAATTATAAACCCGGTCCGATGTAGAAATCATTATTCGTACAGAGTGTGTGAATTTGTAATATATATATATATATATATATATATTTTTTATTATATATATATTTTATATAGTGTATGTACGTATTCGTACATACACAATACGGGAAGTACTTGAAAAATAGTCATTTTTAACTGTGCTGTGGATGTGTCCATCTTAGCACCATCGACACGGGTAAGAAGTAATAAGTGTCTCCAAGTTTTGCATACACTTGTAGGCACTATAATATCTGTTACACAATGGTTGATAGCGCTTCTGATTACTCGAAAATTGTCGCGATGTTCAAAATTCTACCACGAGCACATCAATTTCCTTGGCAATATATGCACATATTTTCTAGTTACTAAATATTGAACCAGTTACTATTATTACTTTTACTTACCTTTTTTCTACTCCTTGAGGTGGTAGCCATTCCCTGAAAATAAACTCATGTTTAATTTTATACACAGCTAAATGCTTAATGATTGCAAACGTAGGAGATTTATGTAAACAGGAAATTATTCCATAACTTTAAAGGCAATTTTTTAAGTTAGTTGTTTAAATGTAAGCGTACTGTTAGGACGTCGCCTGTGGTACGTTTTAAAAAAAAAGACACCTTTACCGCTGCAAAACTAATTTAATTTAATGACACTTCGGAATATTTTAAGCTATAACAAAGTTGTATACCGAACAAAGGTTAAAGTTTGACTGCTTAAATTAAATGAAAAATCACTTTTATATACTTTACATAATGCTTACAACAATAATTACTACCTTGTACATCGGTTCATAACAGTACGCAGGGGATGATGGTGACTTTATAAATACAGAATTTACTGTTATAATCTTTTTTTTCTTTTTTTCTTTTTCATTGCTTATTGAGAAACGATACTCTGGCGTTTTACAAATGCATTAAAATATAATATTAAACCTTACTTCTATAGACTGATGAAGGGAAGCAGCACTGCGAAGGTATCGGCGCTGCACTCACCACTTACGATTCCTGTCCAAGGTGATTGATATCGATATGCGCAAGCATTTCTAATTATGTGTGGGAAAGATAAACAAAGTGTTTCTACAATTTTTTTCAAATACCCTTTTTTAAAGTTGGTTAAAAAGCTATTTATTTTAAAAATTAAAGATAAGATAAAATTCAGATAGTTAAATAGCTTTTATAAATGTTATTAAAAGTAGGGGAGCCCATGATGCTATACGGGGATTTACTCAAGCATATAGGCACCTATTAGATTTTATAGATTAGTTGATATGAAGAAAAAAAGTTATATAAAATTCCCCTTCCAGTAGTGGGGGAAGCGTCTACAGATTTTCAAAAATGTAAAACTACTATAAACTACTACAGATATTCAAAAATTAATTCCAGCGCGTCAGTTATTCAAAGGGGATGTTAAGTGAAACCTAAAAATGTTCTCATTTAAAAGCAATGATTTCAAAAGGAAGGATAGGCCCATCTAAATATTTTACTCATAATTTTTTCATACAAGAAAAAGTAGCGCCTCTGTCATAATACAAACGTCATATCAAAACACCACATAACCAGGGTCGGATTTCGTAGTATAATTATCCTAATTGTACCGTTATTTCATTGTTTGTAGTACATAGTATCGTAATAATACTAAGCGAAAATACCATAATTTTACCTAAATGTCGACTTGTATTATTATTGGGTCTTTTTACATTTTAATATTAACCCTACGATATCGAGAATTTCTGTATTGTACATGAGTACCGCGTTTTTTAATTAAATTAGAATTAGCTCCATTTCTGGTTAATCGATGAAAAAAGAAACATGAAACGTGATACTTATATCACGTTCATTTCACGTTTCAATGTTTATTTACTCTGTGTGCTTATCTTAAGCAATATAATATTAAGAGTTTAAAATTTATGCTTTTTTAAAGATTTTTAATGAAAATGGAGGATAATTGTGTTCCTTGTGATGAATTGAAGTGTGTTAAAGGGATAATCGAAGAGGAAATCTTTAAACTTTGTTGAGATAATACATAAGGTTAAGAGTGTGTTTCAGACTTATCAATTATCGCAATTAAAAACAGTTACTGGTACAATTAAAACGTTCACGTTCTTTCCATAAGAAAGCGAGATGATTCCACTTATCTTATCTTATCTCTTATCCATTAGAATGTAAATAATTTGTTTTTTTTTTTAATTTTGTACATTGTTTGTACTTTGTTCGTGTCTTACTTTTGTTCATGTATTGTATTGGATATAAATATTTTTTTCTTTCGCGTAAACAAACCCAAACGGCTTTCTTCAAAGCCACCGAAGCTATGCAATTGCTGATATGTAATACAACATTGAGTTATACAACACTAGAGAAGCAAACCACATTACCGCGCGTCGAAAAAAGTGTAATTCTACTATCCAAACGCGACGACGTAGCTTTGAAACTAATAACAATTTTAAATAAACATATATCTATAAGTGAGATCACTTACACAAGTTGCAAAAAACAATATCGTCGCTAAGATTAGATAAAGATAGACACACAAACATGCAATGGCGGGTTGGTGTGGCTTACTATATGAAATTTTACCTAAAATACGCAACAAAAATGAGATTTTTTAAGCTGCAGTTAATGGTTTTTATATTAAAAAAGTATATTTTATTTTAAAATCTTTATTGCGTCCCCTTAGAAAAAAAAGATACAAAGCTTATCAGATGAATAGAAGTAAACATAATGATGAAATAAAACATATTTTTATAAGTATTTTTATTGTACTACTCGTAATAAATCAAACAATAGAAAATAGGTAATAAAATATAATTAATAGATAATTCATGAATAAACTAAAATAAGAATAATTAACTATTTTGTATGAAAGTTAAAACGTAGTTTTTATTATAATTTCCAAAATATTAAAAATCAGAGGTAACAAATTAACTTACTCCATTAATTATATAGTCTCCCATTAATGTAGGATAATCACAAATGCGGAAAAGTGGCAACATTTAACCTAAATGGCAATATTTGATAATTTTATTTAATTATTTGAGGTTTTTTTACGTTTATATGAAAACAAGAAATAAAAATTATGTGTTGAAAGTGATTCCGCTTGATTTATTACATTTTTGTGACCTTGAATAGCATTCGCTCACTACGCATTTACCCATTTTTTGTCGCGGCTCACCTCTGTCGGCGTCACATTGAACACTGAACTGACGTTAGTTAGGAATATGGCTGTGGCCATATGTACAGTGGCAACGCTTTGGCGCGGTTATTACTGATCTAGTGTAATATATAAATCAATGTAATACAATCTATCTAGCAGTGGTATGCCTTCTGTGTGCTTTGTTAAACACGTCCTTGACAGCACTGAATATGAAACTGAAGCGTGGAGACAGATCAAGATTGGTGTATTTTTATAAAACTGCTAAAAACAACAATCTACATTTTTGTCAATTTATATCTTGGGCTTGCCCTAGCTTGGAGCTCTAGCTTCGCCACTGAATTTTAGGGCCAACGCACTGGTCCGTTTTAGTTGTTCGGACGGCCCGGTCCTTACGATAGTAATATATTGGTTGGGCTGAAAAGTTCGTATCGTCTCTATGAGATGGCGCCACTAGAATAAAATCCATATCATTTTTAGGTAGTACTAACCTTCGAAAGAAACGTGTAAAAATTTGACAGCTGTCTGATTATTAGTTTGTGAGATACAGCATTTTGAGTAAAGCAACTTTTGTTATTTTGAAAAAAATGGATAAAAAGGAATTTCGTGTTTTAATGAAACACTATTTTTTGATGAAAAAAAGTGCTGCCGATACCAAAAAGTGGCTTGATGAGTGTTATCCGGACTCTGCGCCGGGCGAAGCAACCATTCGTAAGTGGTTTGCCAAATTCCGTACAGGCCATATGAGCACCGAAGACGATGAACGCAGTGGACGTCCAAAAGAGGCTGTTACGGACGAAAACATAAAAAAAATCCACAAAATGATTTTGGAAGATCGTAAATTTAGGTTGATTTGTATAGCTGGCACTCTAAAAATATCAAAGGAACGTGTTGGACATATCGTTCATGAATATTTGGGTATGCTAAAGCTATGTGCAAAGTGGGTGCCGCGCGAGCTCACAATCGACCAAAAACAAGAACGTGTCGATGCTTCAGAGCAATGTTTGGAGCTGTTCAACCGCAATAGAAGTGAATTTTTGCGTCGATATGTGACAATCGATGAAACATGGATCCACCACTACACTCCGGAGTCCAGTCGGCAGTCATCTGAATGGACTGCACGCGATGAACCGAATCCAAAGCGTGGAAAAACTCAACAGTCGGCCGGTAAGGTTATGGCGTCCGTATTTTGGGATGCACATGGAATAATTTTCATCGACTATCTTCGAAAGGGAAAAACCATCAACAGCGACTATTATATAGCGTTATTGGAGCGTTTGGAGGACGAAATCGTGAAAAGACGGCCCCATTTGAAGAAGAAGAAAGTGTTGTTTCATCAAGACAATGCGCCGTGTCACAAATCGATGAAAACGATGGCAAAATTGCATGAATTGGGCTTCGAATTGCTTCCGCATCCACCGTATTCTCCAGATTTGGCCCCCAGCGACTTTTTCCTGTTCTCAGATCTCAAGAGAATGCTCGCTGGAAAGAAATTTAAAGCCGATGAGGAAGTAATCGCCGAAACAGAGGCCTATTTTGAGGCTAAACACAAATCGTACTACAAAAATGGTATTGAAAAGTTGGAAGATCGCTATAATCGGTGTATCGCCCTCGATGGCAACTATGTTGAATAATAAAATCGAATTTTGCCAAAAAAATGTGTTTTTCTATAAAACGATACGAACTTTGCAGCCCAACTGATATAAGTCAATGTTTAAAAGACAAACGATTCGGCAGTGACGCAAGCTCGTAGCAAATTTCAGAAAATTCGAAAAAAATCGCCATATTGAAATACTCAAGCGTGTCAGATTATTATTCAGAAGGTGCAGCTTGAGGTCCCAGTTATAGTAGCTTAAAATCTGACGATTATTTTGAGGGATATTAATAATCTGACTGCTAGAAATATCTTTTCTTAATTTTTTATGAACTCTTTTTTCTTAATGACCATAAAATGTGACTGTGAATGGAGATGGCACGAAAGAGTCAGAGATAGGGAAAAATTAAAAGAAAAGATGGGCGGAGAGGGAGCTTTACTCCAGCTGCACGCTCTCATCCTCATAGCCGATTTTTAATATTTCGGCTTGTAAAAATTGGCTAATTATGTTTTTTTTAATTATTTTTGCATTATTTCCTTCAAAATAAAAAAAAAACTCAACCACGCACGAGAATGTCATTCCCTTACGTTACATACAAATCGTCAGATTTTCTAAATGCACTCATTGTACCTCATAATTAACCCACTTTACCTTAATATGATGCACTGGAGTAAATCCAAAAATCCGCTCTT